CAGAGATAAACGTTATAACTCACCATCTACTCACTAGAACCCGAAATTCAGCAATTTAATCCATAGATCTTCCACTAGTTCAATAAAGTGGATGAATGTTGCTCCACCAACACAATGAAATTCGAAATTCAGTATTGTTTCAGATCTGCAACCTCCAGGAGAGTACATTGTGATCTTTTGCACATGTTACAATCATCTTTGCCATTGGCCCTAATTGGCATTCTCGCTGGAGTCTTCTGCAGGAAAGAAAAAAAAGCTGAGGATTCTGGGAATGCCTTGAAAGGGAATGTCCCGTCATGATCCCTTTGATGTTCTTTTCATATGAAAATCAATCAGCATAAAGCCATAAGCAAAGCAGATGGCAAGGCTTCAGAATCAAGGCTTCCATCCTAAAATGCATTTGTGCCAGTCATGGGGTTACAGCCCCGGTAACATGATCAATAAGTGTTTGGAGGAGGAAAGAGATGCTTTACTGCAAACTCTATGAACAAAATTATGAATGTTGGCATCCGGTGTGGGTATTATAACCTTAAACATTATAGCATTGATTCTGCCCTTTACATTTCTGGGGGAGAAAGGACTAAAAATGCGGCTTCAGTATCTGCACAATTTTTGTCATCTAATTACTGCATTTTATTTAAGATTAATGCGATACATATTTCATTTTTAGGTTTCCTAGCAGATCATGTTCCCGAAGAAACACGTCTGAGCTAAAAGTATTTGCCTGCATTACATATACCATGGAAATGAGTAAGATTGCATAGAAACTGTATCAAAATCAAAGGAATAATTAATAATAATAAAAGTTTATTTATATACCACTCTATCTCCTCTGGGGGACTCAGGGCAGTTTCCAAATTGTAAAAACACAAATCCATACAGAGTAAGCAAAAAACAAACAAAAACCGACCAACACATACGCATAAAACAGTCAAACAACACATGTACAATAAAACCAATCGACCTTATTCTTCATGCCAGGATTAACGATTAGGGCCAAGCCATCTTTTTGTGGACGGAAACTAAACTAGAAATGGATGTATCTGGAATTTTTCCACTCAGTCCTCAAGAGAGTGATCTCTGGAACAAGTCCAATTTGGGACAGTTTGATATTCTTATTTGGCATGTAGAATAATAGAATTATAGAATCATAGAGTTGGAAGAGACCTTGTGTGCCATCTAGTCCAACCCCCTGCCAAGGAGCAGGAAAATTGCATTCAAAGCACCCCGACAGATGGCCATCCAGCCTCTCAGCTCAGGTCCTCCCTCTTTAAAGATTTCAGCAGGGATCCCATCAGGTCTGCTGGCTTTGTTATTTTTTGTTGGTTGATGACATTGCTGACTTCTTCCAAACTAGACAGTGCTGCAAACTCATCCCTGATTTGTGGGAGAACCTCTTTGGCCACATTCGAGCTGCGGCTAAGGAGGCTTTGGTAGTGTTCTTTCCAACGTAGTGCAATTGATTTTTGGTCCTTCAGGAGTTTGGTTCCATCTGATGAGCGTAGAGGCTGTATGCCATGGTTTCTTGGTCCATAGATGACCTTTGTGGCTTTGAAAAATCCCTGAGCATCATGGGTATCTGCCAGGTGTTGGATTTCTTCAGCCTTCTTTGTCCATGAGATGTTCTGAAGTTCTCTTGTCCTTCTTTGGATCTTAGTTTTTGCACTGGTGTAGATCTTTTTCTTATGGGTCTCCCGGTGGCGCAGTGGGTTAAGGCGCTGAGTTGCTGAGCTTGTTGACCGAAAGGTCGCAGGTTCCGCTGTCAGCCCTAGCTTCTGCCAACCTAGCAGTTCGAAAGCATGCAAATGTGAGTAGATCAATAGGTACTGCTCTGGCGGGAAGGTAACGGCGCTCCATGCAGTCATACCAGCCACATGACCTTGGAGGTGTCTATGGACAATGCCGGTTCTTCAGCTTAGAAATGGAGATGAGCACCACACCCTGGAGTCAGACATGACTGGACTTAATGTCAGGGGACAACCTTTACCAACCTAGATCTTTTTCTTAGCAGCACAGTTGATGTCTCTCTGCCATGTTTGGAAGGCTTTCCTTTTCTTGTCAATTAGCTGTGGGATCTCGTTGTCATTTTGTGAAATAAGTTAATAGGCATTTAATAGAATTTTCCTTAATGCCATCTTCTTATCCAACATTCTGCCAGCCCGTTTATTTGGATAAGTGAGACTCTACTGCAGTGTTTCTCAACCTGCGGGTCAGGACCCCTGGGGGGCGGTCATGAGGGGGTGTCAGAGGGGTCACCAAAGACCATCCATAAACACAGTATTTTCTGTTGGTCATGGGGGTTCTGTGTGGGAAGTTTGGCCCAATTCTATTGTTGATGGGGTTCAATATGCTCTTGGATTGTAAGCAAACTATACATCCCAGCAACTACAACTGCCAAATGTCAAGGTCTATTGTTCCCAACCTCCACCAGTGTTCACATTTTAGCATACTGAGTATCCGTGCCAAGCTTAGACCAGATCCATTTTTGTTTGAGTCCACAGTGCTCTCTGGATGTAGGTGAACTACATCTCCAAAACTCAAGGTCAATGCCCAAGAAACCTTCCAGTATTTTCCGTTGGTTGTGGGAATCCTGTGTGCCAAGATTGGTTCAATTCCATTGTTGGTGGAGTTCAGAATGCTCTTTCATTGAAGGTGAACTATAAATACCAGCAGCTACAACTCCCAAATGACAAAATCAGCCCCCTCCAACCCCACCAGTATTCAAAGGTGGGCCTATTGGGTCTTTGTGCCAAATGTGGTCCAGTGAATGAAAGTACATCCTGCAAATTAGATATTTACATTATGATTCATAACCGTAGCAAAATGACAGTTAAGAAGTAGCAATGAAAATAATGTTACGGTTGGGGGTCACCACAACATGAAGAACTGTATTAAGGGGTTGCGGCATTTGGAAGGTTCAGAACCACTGCTCTACTGTATCATCTGCATATCTAAGGTTGTTAATGTTTCGTCCAGCAATTTTAACTCCAGCCTTGGATTCATCAAGTCCCGCATGTCGCATGATGTCTTCTGCATACAAGCAGAATAGGTTGGGTGAGGGTACCCTGCCTTGCTGTACTGGGCTTTTGTTGTTCATTCGTTCAGTCATCTCCAACTCTTCATGACCTCATGGGCCATCCCACACCAGAGCTCCCTCTCAGCCGTCACCACCCCCAGCTCCTTCAGAGTCAAGCCAGTCACTTCAAGGATACCATCCATCCATCTTGTCCTTTTCGGCCCCTCTTCCTTTTTCCTTCCATTTTCCCCAGCATCATTGTCGTCTCTAAACTTTCCTATCTTCTCATTTGGACATTGCTCTCCTCCCAAGAAGTAAGCGTCTTCTGATTTCTTGGCCACAGTCTGCATCTCCAGTAATCTTTGCACCTAGAAATACAAAGTCTGTCACGGCCTCCACATTTTCTCCCTCTATTTTCCCGTTGTCAATCATTCTTGTTGCAATATCTTGGTTTTTTTATGTTTAGCTGCAACCCAGCTTTTGCTGTTAACTTAGGACACCCAATGAATTCCTTGAGGTTTTCAGAAGACGCTTACTTCTTGGGAGGAGAGCAATGTCCAATCTTGATAAAATTGTAAAGAGTAGAGACATCACACTGGCAACAAAGATCCGCATAGTCAAAGCCATGGTATTCCCTGTAGTAACCTACGGATGTGAGAGCTGGACCTTAGGGAAGGCTGAGCGAAGGAAGATCGATGCTTTTGAGCTGTGGTGCTGGAGGAAAGTTCTGAGAGTGCCTTGGACAGCGAGAAGATCCAACCAGTCCATCCTCCAGGGAATAAAAGCCCGGCTGCTCCTTGGAGGGAAGGATACTAGAGACAAAGTTGAAGTACTTTGGCCACATCATGAGTGTCATGCGTTAGCATGAGTAGCATGCAGATTGACTCTAGCCCAGTTAACTGTGTGTGTGATGAATTGGCTCTTAAAAGAAAAACACACGAGACTTTGGCTTAAAGTAGAAAAGAAAAATATTGTAGTATTGGCAGCATACAAAACAAAATAGCAGGATTGCTGTTTCCATAAAAGTAACATGAAACAATATCTTCTGAGAGATATCATTACTCAGCTGTGATAAGCAGGAATCCTTGTCCTCTTCTCATGGCTGTGTCTTCGCAGGACATCTGCAGCATAGTCCCCGGCTTACACAAAGCAGAACGGCACAGAGGCATAGATGCACAATAGCATAAACGCACAATGGCAAAGAACTAAACACACAGTAGCTATCTTTATACACATGAAAATAATACTCTCAATTAACTCTTCAATTAACTGAAACAGCTGTAGCACAAACAGCCTTGAACCTTCAGGAAATAAAGCCCGACTGCTCACTGTAGGGAAAGATACTAGAGACAAAGTTGAAGTCCTTTGGCCACATCATGAGGAGACAGCAAAGCCTAGAGAAGACAATTATGCTGGGGAAAGTGGAAGGCAAAAGGAAGAGGGGCCGACCAAGGGCAAGATGGATGGATGGCATCCTTGAAGTGACTGGACTGACCTTGAAGGAGCTGGGGGTCGTGACGGGTGACAGGGAGCTCTGGCGTGGGCTGGTCAATGAGGTCACGAAGAGTCGGAGATGACTGAACGAATGAACAACAAGTGAGACTCTACTGTATCATCTGCATATCTAAGGTTGTTAATGTTTTGTCCAGCAATTTTAACTCCAGCCTTGGATTCATCAAGTCCCGCACGTCGCATGGTGTCTTCTACATACAAGAAGAATAGGTTGGGTGAGGGTACCCTGCCTTGCTGTCCTGGGCTACACTGACCATATAATCCAGTTTCAAATTGCATGATATGCCAGTGTTGATACTCCCAGGTTCCTATTGACAGGACAACTTCTCCCCTCCTAGAACCAGTGTAGCTGAACCCAAGGGATGGACAGCAACAGAGAAGCACTTTCTTGCCAGGAAGGAAGGCTTGTGAACTACACCTCCCAGCGTGCCTTGCGAGCGCCTTTTCCTGTGAAGGAGGAGGGGGAGGAAGAGAAGGAGGAGGAAAGGAAGGAAAAAAAAACCCCAAGGCGAGGAGGGAGTGTGGGTGGGGAAAGCGACGCCTCTGTTCTCCTTCCTTCCTTCCTTCTTCCTCTCTCTCCTTCTCTTGAGGCTCAGGCGGCATCTCCGCCCTCGCCATAACCGAGAAGGCAGCGAGAGAGCGGGGTCTGGGGTCTGGGCGCCTGTCTCTTGGAAGGGAGAAGGGAGCGATGCGGAGGGGAGGAAAATGGCAGAGCTGCAGATGTTACTAGAGGAGGAAATCCCTTCTGGGAAGCGGGCTCTGCTTGAGAGCTACCAGAACCTCACCAGGGTCGCCGACTACTGCGAAAACAACTACATCCAGGTAAGAAGGGAGAGCCAAGGAGGGAGAGAGGCTCGCCTTGGAAGGGGCCAAGACCCATGTCTGCCTTCATTTCCTTCCTTCCTTCCTTCTTGCTCGCCTCCATGGCAGGAGGAGGAAGAAGGGGGGAAGGAGCCACTCGCCTTACAGGAAGTGGGCAAGGGCTCTTGCAAAGGGAGGAAGGCCAGCCAGGCCTTCCTCCCTTTGCAAGAGCCCTTGCCCACTTCCAATGGGTGCATTGTGACCCCACTTTGAGTTGTCAGGATTCAATGCTGGGAGTTGTAGTGGACAGACTCTTATGGAACTACCACTCGCAGGATTCCATAGCCTTGAGCCTCAACAACCACAGTGGTGTCAAACTGTGTTTGCTGGACAGTGTATTTGTTTGTTTGTTTGCATGAGGAAGAATTTCCTGACTGTGAGATCCGTTCAGCAGTGGAACTCTCTGCCCCGGGATGTGGTGGAGGCTCCTTCTTTGGAAGCTTTTAAACAGAAGCTGGATGGCCATCTGTCAGGGGTATTTGAATGCAATATTCCTGCTTCTTGGCAGAATGGGGTTGGACTGGATGACCCATGAGGTCTCTTCCAACTCTTTGATTCTATGATTCTATGCTGCAAGTCGCTTCTGGTGTTAGACAATCAGCCGTCTACAAAGACGTCACCCAAGGGATGCATTTTTTAAATACATTACAGTTGTACCCTCGGTTGGCTTCTGATACAATAAATAAATGGACAGTGTGGATCAGGCATGGGCAAACTTCAGCCCTCCAGGTGTCTTGGACTTCAGCTCCCAGAAATCCCAGTGTTGGACTGCAATGCCCACCAGCTGTTAGGAATTGTGGGGGTTGAAGTTCAAAACACCTGGAGGGCCAAAGTTTGCCCATAGAATCATAGAATCAAAGAGTTGGAAGAGACCTCATGGGCCATCCAGTCCAACTCTCCTGCCAAGAAGCAGGAATATTGCATTCAAATCACCCCTGACAGATGGCCATCCAGCCTCTGTTTAAAAGCTTCCAAAGAAGGAGCCTCCACCACACTCCGGGGCAGAGAGTTCCACTGTTGAACGGCTCTCACAGTCAGGAAATTCTTCCTCGTGTTCAGCTGGAATCTCCTCTCTTGTAGTTTGAGGCCATTGTTCCGCGTCCTAGTCTCCAAGGAAGCAGAAAACAAGCTTGCTCCCTCCTCCCTGTGGCTTCCTCTCACATATTTATACATGGCTATCATATCTCCTCTCAGCCTTCTCTTCTTCAGGCTAAACATGCCCAGCTCTTTAAGCCGCTCCTCATAGGGCTTGTTCTCCAGACCCTTGATCATTTTAGTCGCCCTCCTCTGGACACATTCCAGGTTGTCAATATCTCTCTTGAATTGTGGTGCCCAGAATTGGACACAATATTCCATGCCTGGTATAGATGCACCCTAAGGTGGACCAGACTAGGGGTGCAGCCTACATGGTAGAAGTACTGGGGTTGCACACCACTTGAACTGCTATGGCTCAACGCTATGGAATTGTGGGTGTTGTCATCTGGTGAGGCTATAGGATTCTTTGGCAGAGAAGACTAAGGACCTTGTAAATCTACAATTCATAGAATTTAATAGCACTGAGCCATGGCAGTTTTATTATGCTTTTTGATTAATTAAGTTGTTTTAATTTACTTACTTTTGGTTAGTAATAATAATAATAACAATAATCTTTATTTATATCCCACCACCATCTCCCAAAAGGGAACGGGGGAGGTTTACAAGGCATTTTTTTTTGGTAGTGTCAGGAGTGACTTGAGAAACAAGGCACTACAAGTGTAGTATATAATATGAAAGGTACATGGGTATAAGAACAATATAACACAATTATAAAAACAACCACTATTAACACATCAAATAAAATAAAACACAGTTTAAAATGCAGAACATCTGTAGTTAAAACTAGCTGCCTTCAAATCACAATTACAGTGCCAAAGTGTCAACCTCATATGGGCCCATTTCAGCCTACTCAAGGCCAAAAGCCTGCTTAAAAATCAATGTTTTTAGGCTGGATCGGAAAGAGTCAAGGGTGGGGACTAACCTAATATCTTTTGAGAGGGTATTCCAGAGCCAGGGAGCCACTACTGAGAAGGTCCTCTCTCTCGTCCCCACCAACCATGCTTGAGACAATAGTGGAACCGAGAAAAGGGCCTCCCTTGCTGATCTCAAAAGCCCATGCTGGTTCACAGAAAGAGATGAAGGACCCAAAGCATATGTAGCTTTATAGGTAATAACCTGCACCTTGAAATGAGCCGGAAAATTGTTGGAATCCAGAGGAGCTGCTTGAGTAGGGGCATAGTATGTTCCCTATAGCTAGCTCCAATTAGTAAGTTTATAAGTTTATATTGATGTTGTTTCATTCATTGGTTCGATTTGGTTTTGTTTTCATTATGGCATTGAATGTTTGCCATTTTTTTGTTTGGAAACCGCCCTGAGTCCTCTCAGGGAGATAGGGCGGGTTATAAATAAAGTTTTATTATTACTATTATGGCAGTTCAAGTGGTGTCAAACTACAATAAGTCGACAGAAGTGGTTCTCAACCTGTGGGTCTCCAGGTGTTTTGGTCTACAACTCCCAGAAATCCCAGCCAGTTTACCAGCTGTTAGGATTTCTGGGAATTGAAGGCCAAAACATCTGGGGAACCACAGGTTGAGAACCACTGCTCTGCAGGTTGAGAACCATTGGTCTGAAGTGTAGATCAGGCCCAGGCAAACCTGGAGGGCCCAAGTTTGCCCATGCCTGATGCAGATGTACACTTGGAAGAGTGCTGAAGATGGTTGGGGTTTTTTTTTGGGGGGGGGGGGGGGAGAAGAAGCCAAATTTGGTTCAAAGGGGTAAGAGAGGAGGGCAAACCAGGGAGAGAGAATAATGGGGTAGGAAAGAGAAATAAAGATGGAGAAAAAGAGAGGGGGTAAGCAGCACAATGTCTCAGAAGGTGGATCTACACCAGGCATGGGTAAATTTTGACCCTCCAGGTGTTTTGGACTTTAACTCACACAATTCCTAACAGCCGGTAAGATGGCTGGGAGTTTTGGGAGTTGAAGTCCAAAACACCGGGAGGGCCGAAGTTTGCTCATGCCTGTCCATTTATTTACCGTATCAGAAGCAAACCGAGAGTACAGTTGTAATGTATTTAAAAAACACAAAGTTTTAAAACTTGGCATTATCAAATGCCACTTGGAGTGCCTCTGGTGTTGCTATAAGAAGCATGTGGCAGGGCTCAGACTGCACTGTAATAGGTGGTATGTGGTTTGTTCTTCTCCACACTCAAATGTCATGGACTCCACTTTGTGGCCCCATTTCTTAAGGTTGGCTCTGCACCTCGTGGTGCCAGAGTGCAGTCTGTTCAGCGCCTTCTAATTCGCAGAGTCTCCTATGTACCCAGGAAAGGGAATCTCTCATTTGATACAGCCATGGCTTGAGGTTCCGGGTTTTAGCCTGCCACTTTTGGACTCTTGCTTGCTGAGGTGTTCCTGAAAGTATCTCTGCAGATCTTAAAAAACTATTTCTTGGTTGAAGGGAGACATGAGAGAAGCTTCCCCAAGGATTGCAACACACCCAGATGTCCCCTGGGCAACGTCTTTGTAGATGGCCAATTCTCTCACACCAGAAGCGACTTGCAGAAGTCTCTCATTCAGTAACAGTCATGGTTTGAGGTTCTGGGTTTTAGCCTGCCACTTTTGGACTCTCGCTTGCTGGGGTGTTCCTGTGAGAATCTCTGCAGATCTTAGAAAACTATTTCTTCATTGAGAGGAGACACACGAGAGAAGCCTCCTTGGAGGATTGCAACACATCCAGACATCCCCCGGGCAACATCTTTGTAGGTGGCTGATTCTCTCACACTAGAAGCTAACAGAAGTGACTTGCAGGAGTCTCTCATTCGGTATCAACCATGGCGTGAGTTTCCAGGTTTTAGCCTGCCACTTTTGGAGTCTTGCTTGCTGAAGTAGTCCTGCAAGTATCTCTGCAGATACTTGCATGGAGAGAAAAGGTGTGGGAAGGCAACACAATGTCTCAGAAGATGCATCTGCACCAGGCATGGGCAAACTTTGGCCCTCCAGCTGTTTTGGACTTCAACTCACACAATTCCTAACAGTCCAACACCCCCGGAGAGCCAAAGTTTGCTCATGCCTGATCTATACTATAGCATTAATGCAGTTTGCTACCATTTTAATTGCCATGGCTCAATCCGTGGGATTGCAAGAGCTGTTGTGTTACAAGGTCTCTAGTCTTCTCTGTCAATGAATGTCTCACCAAACTACCAACCCCAAGATTCCTGTAGTATTAAGTGATGTCAAACTGCGCCAGTTCTATAGTACAGATGTGCCTCTAGCCTAGTTCCCCCCCCCCCCCCTGACATTTGGATCTAAGGGTGTGCCTTTTAGGGATTCTTTAGTATGAGACAGGCTTCCTTGTGTTGTGTTTCTGGATGTGTCCAGAGCTGTGTTTGGGGAGGAACAGTACACTGCTTTAATCCGGAGCCTATAGCTGTCTGTTTTTCTTCCTCATGCTGAGTTCCTCATTCTTTTTCTCGCTTGTTCTCTTTCTCCTTCCTTCCCTATTAGTTTCTCTTTGGGGTAGTGATACAACGCTCATGTATTTGTGCATTTTGAAAGCCAGTGGTAAAGCTGGCCTCCGAATGGAAGTGTAGAATGACACCCGGCTTCTTTTGGGGGGATATTCAAGTGGGCAGATCCAATCTATCTCCCACCCCCCATTTTTGGGGTGAAAAGGGATTGCAAGTGAACAGTGAAGAATTGCTTGGCACATTCACTCACATAGTAATGGGAAGAAATCCCGTATTTATAAAAAGAGAAGCAATCCCCTCTTCCTTTTCTCTTCTGTATGCAGGCACATACAGACTCTCCCTCATGAATGACTTCATGTAATTTAATAAGGCAAAATGAATTCTCTGGGGATGCTGTTTGTTTAATATTTGGCGTGTAATTTTTACCAAGGCTAAATGAATTACGTCCATGACATGA